ACACGGTAAATCCAAATACTAAACAAAATATTGGTATATTACATAAAAAATAATGGAGTTACCGTCTTTTGGCTTATGTTCATACATTGAGAAAAAAGGATATTTTGATTTACTGTTAAAAATGTTTTTTTGCGTTCCTGAAAAATCACGTTGACTGGAGTTATCCTTTTTTCGCTTAGCACGGCAGTATTGTAATGTCACACTGTCAATAGTTTATGAACAATCGTCTACCTTATTATTATTATACTGCACATTATCTTTAATTTTATATTCTACATTCCCATTCCGTTTTAAGTATGGAAGATAAACTGGACCCTCTTATCGCCTCTAATAATGATATAAAATCATCCCAAAACAAATTAATAGCTTCAATCAATGAAAAATTTTCTCGGTTTGGGAAAAAAGTTGATGAGCTTTTAGAACGTGTTTCTAATCTGGAAAAAGAAAATGAATATTTGAAAAGTGAACTAGCTACCTTAAAAAATAAAGTTAAAACATTTGAAAATAACGAATCTTTTCTCGAAAATAAAATTATATCTGAGTTCTTAGATCTCATAACGTAATCGTATTTAATCTTATTGAAAAATCAGAATTTAAAACTGAAGGGAGTAACATAATTAATAAAATTATGAACACAATGGGCTTAAACGTACTTCCAGTAAACTATTCACATTTGGGAAGACCATCAGATAAATGCCGTCCACTAAAATTAACTCTCCCAAACCCTGGAGAAGTTTTTACTTTACTTCGTTCTCAATCGAAATTAAAATTACACCCAAAATTTAAAGAACTAAAATTTTCGTCCGATCGAACTGCTTTTTAAAGAGAACAAATGTCAAACTTAAGAAAAGAGCTCAATCAACGTAGAGAGAATAGAGAAAGTATTATTATAATCAAGTACATAAAAAATGAACCAAAAATAGTTTCTTCGATAAAAAACGCATAAAATCAACTCCATTGTCTGTCAACATCTATTACCAAAATATACGCTGTGTTAACAGCAAATTATCATCATTAAATTCACAAATACCGTCCTCAAATTTCGATGTCTATATTCTAACTGAAACTTGGCTTTCAAATGCCACTAATTCCTCAGAAATGGGTTTCTAACAATATAATGTCAACAGAGCTGTCAGAAACACTAACACCAGTGCCTTTATACGAGATGGAGGAGTTTTAATAACTGTTAAAAAAAAATTATTTTCTAGGATACTTTGTACTTCTATTAATAATTTAGAACAAGTTTTTGTTTTAATAAATTTAGGAAAAGAATGTATTATTATTGGTGCGGTATATATGCCTGTACGTTCTAATAAGCAATTATTTTTAAACCAATTTTCTACTGTAGAAAATTTACTTTTAGAAAACTCTAATTGCAATATAATATTATTAGGAGATTATAATCTACCTTCTGCCACGTACTGTGATTCTGAAAATTTTTTTAATGAACAAATTCTTAACTTTAACCTACTACAATTTAACAATATTATTAATATTAATGGTATTACTTTAGATAAAGTAATTTCAAATTATCAAAACATTGCAATCGAAAAAAACGTAAACCCAATAGCAATAATCGATAAACTTCATCCACCTCTAAATATTTACTACACCTGTAATCAATTGTATTACTTGAATTTTAAAGAACCTATGTATTTTTGGAAAAAAGGTAACTATTATCCTATTTTGAATTATTTAGGCTCTCTTAACTGGAAATTGTTATTGAATCATAATGATATTAACATAAATTTTTCTAACTTCTACTCAATTTTATATTACGATATTGAATTATATATACCAAAGTCATTTATTTTCAAATTACGTTACCCGTATTGGTTTAGTAAAAATTTTAAAAATTTAATAAAAGATATAAAACATGCCCATAACATTTATAAAAACTCAAAATTACCTACTGATTTTACTATCTTTTCAAAATTGCGTTCTAAATGTAAAAAAGCAAGAGAAAGAGATTTCTTAAACTTCATAAATAATTCTCAAAATTCTATCAAAATAAATCCGAAAAAATTTTTGAAGTTTATTAAACAGAAAAAACTAAATCACGATTTACCTAATTTTATGTGTTTAGATGTTATATCTGCTCATAACGGTCAAGATATCATTAATTTATTTGGTAAATATTTTTCCAGTGTATATACATCTCAAAATAATCTTTCTCCTAACACTTCAAACTGTCCCCAACTACTATCTAATCTAAATCAAATTGAAATTAGTTTATCTGATATATTTAATGAATTAAATTCATTAAATGGTAATCGTGGACCTGATGGTATAGATACTTTATTTTAAAAAATTGTTCATTTGTTCTTTCACCCATTTTACTAATTTTATTTAATAGTTCATTAAAATGTGGTGTATTTCCGGATATTTTAAAATCATCTTTTATCAATCCCATATTTAAGAAAGGTAACCGAGAACAAATTAATAACTATAGACCTATACCAAAAATTTCATTAATTGTGAAAATCTTTTCGTAAATAATTACTCAAAAAATTACACCAATGTTCAAAAATGTTTTTATAAACGAATAACATGGATTTCGTAATGGAAGATCAACTGTTACAAATCTTACGGTTTTTAAGCAGACTATTATAGACTCTTTTGAATCTAATTCTCAACTAGATGCTGTTATTATACTGACTTTGAAAAAACATTCGATAAAATAAACCACACATTACTAGTACGTAAATTAGAATTGATTGGTATTCTAAATCGTCTATTATCTTAGTTTAATTAATTTCTTATTAATAGAATACAGATTATAAAATATAAAAATTTCCAGTTTAATGTTGAGATTAATTGATTAATGAGATAAAAATAAAGGCTACATCTAATTTATATTTCATAAAAAGAAGTTGCCACGAATTCTTTTACGCAGATGCCCTTAAGGCAGTTTATTTTTTATTAGTAAGATTTCGTCTTGAATAAGTTTCACTTGTGTGGTTTAATAATTCATTTACTCAAATTCATGACTTAGATTCAATACAAAATAATTTTCTAAGATATTTATTATTTAAATGTAAGGCTGAAAGGATACCCCATTCTGGTTACGATGGAGTTTTAGGGTTTTTTAATAATAATACTTTAGGTTATAGAAGAAACATTCAAAATTTAGTGTTTTTATATAAACTTATTAATGTTGACATTGATTGCTCATTCCTTCTTGAGCGTTTACAATTTAAAATACCTAAAATTAGCACCCGAATTAAAGATTTATTCTACGTAAAAAATATTAGAATCTTCTCCCATTATTGTTTTAATGTTGGCGGGTAATAGGGCTGATGCGGATTTTTTCGTTTGTAGTAATATTGATAAATTTAAATCTTTATACATTAAATAATAATAAAAATTATTAATTTGTAATCTATAATATATATTTACTTGTATTAATTTGTGATTTAATTGTACGTGTTCTCAAATGTTATCATATTTATATAAATTGTAAATGGAGTTATTTCCGTAATAAAGATATTATTATTATTTGGCATTATCATTTACCAATAAATGTACTGTATTTGTTAGCGCGCAACAATTTATGCGTGAATTGGGTATTTACGGTATTCACAACGTTTGGCCGGCTTATTTGATATACGGCTCATTCGCTTACATCCTCTCAGTATGTAAATATTAGGTTGAACAAAAACATTTATAAATAATCAGTTTATGTGTTAACGTTCATTTTGTTGTGTTATATTTTTATATTATTACTATAAATTATCTAATTTTTATTTGCAGTTAACTATTAATTTACTTTATACTCATTTGTTTTAGTTTAATATAGAGTTGTGATATAAGAAATTCTCTGTCTAGTCATTTTTCTATTCCAAACTGTATATCATCTAATGCCCCTGTCCTAACAATATTACTTCCGCGTAAAATATTCAGTTACCAAAATCTGTTAAAAAATACCCAGCACAGTGGAGTTGCATCACAGTGAGAACGTGGTATAGTTCCAGTATAGATATAACCTGACAGTGATTAGAATCACTATCATAAAAAGCGCTTCGATGCAAATCTGTAGACAGTGTTTAATTTAAGAAAAATGGCGGATTATTCCAAAAGCAACATGATTTCATATTTCCTTATTTATATCCTGATTACAAGTTTTATGATTTATGCGTGTGATATATGAAATAATATTTGTTATTGCAATGAAATATATTATGAAATTGTTATGTAGTATAGTAATTTTTACGGTGAAATAATAAAAAATTATTAAGTTTTATGATTAATAAGTGTAAAGGGACGGTGTGGCCGAGCCGGTAATGCGGCAGTGCTTGATTCGGGTTCGATAATCGGTCACGGGCGGCTTCATTTGGCGAACGACATATCAGTTCGGTAATTGGAGTCTCAATCAGTCTCTCCAGCGACGAACTATCCACCCGTACAGGAGTATCAAGGTGTAGAAACCTCCTCCTTAGGAGGACAATTAAACATAGTATGAAATTGATATTTAATAATTTAGTATTATAATTTTTACGGAGAAATTATAAAACAATTATTAAGTAGTTATTACTTTTATGGCAACACAAAAATCGTATATTTTTATTAACTTTAATATCCGTTTTCACCATGAAAACAAAATAAAAATCATAATTTTTTTTTCATATTAAAGTATATTACATAAGCTTTAATTTAATATGTATATAAGTATCAGTATTTCTGGAACATTTTCGAAAATTAATTTTCGAACTTCCTCTGTATAAAAGGAAATAGTCCGATTTATCATTTTGAATGCCCCCTTATGGGTAGGAGAAGGGTCAGATTTATAAAAAAATATACAAAATCATAGAGAAAAAAAAATATTGTAGTAAAATTAATACCTTCTCAGCTTCGCATCGAAGCTAAAAAAAACATTTTAAAACAACCATAGTGTTAAATATAAGATTAACACCTGTTATATAAATTATGTTCCTTTGTAAATAACTTTATAAAGCTGCAATTCTATATATAATTTTTAATCATAATTCTATGTGCTTAATTTATGTAAGTGTTATAGTTAGAGTAATTATCTTATAATGTTAAATTGTTTTTATTTCTTATTATGTTTATTGATTTTCCTCTCAATTTCATTATTAGAAACAAGACAAAATAAATCTTCTGAAATCAAAATAATTAAAAAAATTCTTAGAAATGTCTATTGGAATAGTTTTAATGAGGTGGAATATGTTAAATATTGTAATAAATATTATTACCTAATAGATATGTTTGGAAACAGTAAACTAAAGGTAAAAAATGTGGATAAACGTATACGAATCGCAACGATATTTCTTGATTGTGCTACTGCAAATTTTTTATATACTATTCTCAATTTTATTGAATATTTCAGAAATCAATGTGTAAATATTTTGAAACAAGATTCAAGTAAAGTACACGCTTGCGTTCTTGATTTATTAAACATTTTACCTTTCGTTAAGCGTATGTTATCAATAATGAATAGTGCTATAGATTATCTAGAGAGTTTTATTAGTTTACAATGGATAGAGAATATAAAGTATAATTGTAATTTAAAATATGTAATTGACTTTATAGAAGCTTTTTACAAGTCAAAAGATAATTTAAATATCAGTTTGTGTACACACGATAACTTTAGTAGCAATAAATTAGTAGCTCTTGTGAATTTTCATAATAATGTAAAAGGAATTTTAGATTTTAATGCTGAAAAGTATTGCAGTTTGAAATTGGATAATCCGTATGTAGAATGGAACAAATGGATTAATAAATATAATTGTGGTAATCCTAAAACAAATTCTGATTTACCTAAACATCTCAGTAAACAAATATATGAAAAAATAGAAAATTTTATTCTGGAAAAATATTTGAAATTTGGATTTCAATATGACTCTGAAACTGGCAAAACATATTTATCAGAAACACGTGACAAAGGTAGGTTAATGTGTTATAATTCCAAAAATAAGTCAACAAGTATTGGGTTATGTTATATCTAAATTATTTTTCTAATTGAATTTATAATATGAACACAATTCAATTAGTTCAATCATCAATACTAATCACAAAATTTAAATGTTTGTATAATTATTTAATTGAATCATAAGCAATTTTTAAGCTATTATTGTTAAAAATGATGTTTTTTTTTTGTTAAATTGTTCTTTACAATAAAACCAATAAAGGTTAAAAAAAAGCCAGTTCAGGGGGGTCGCGGCACAGTGGTGACGTGGCATAGTTGGATCAAGTATAATGATATCTGTCAGTGATTAAAATCACTATCATAAAAAAGGCTTTGATGCAAATCTTTAGATAGTATTTAATTTTAAAAAATTGGTGTATTATTCCAAAAGCTATATGATCTGCTAGTTCCTTATGAATATCTTGATTAAGATAAAGTATGTCGATAAAAAAGGGATTATTAAAAAATATTATTTCTCATAAAAAAATTGTAATGATCCATACATTTTTCAATTAGTTATAGCATTATAAAATTAAAAATGTAAAAAATAAAATCGAGATTTTTCATACAAAAATAGCATTTGGTTGCCATTTTCACCGTGAAGACAAATCCAGAAGTCAATTTTTTTTTTCCATAATATAATAATGTACTTTACATTACATTAGCTTTAATTTAAGATATATATAAAAGTGTCAGACCTTCCGGACACATTTTCAAAAGTTAAGTAGAAAAAGTAAATTTTTTGTGAAAAAGTTGTCATTTTGAATCCCTCCCTGTAGGCAGGTAAAGGGTCAGATTTATAAAAAAATATATCGAATGATAGTTAAAGACATCATGTATCTATAAAAAAAAAATTATATTTTGAAAAAGTTACGGCAGTTTTTAGTAAAAAAAATTGAAAAAATTTCGAAAATTAGCGATTTTTAAATTTGTAATTTTTTTGGAGGTTTTCCTCATTTACGGGGAACGAGGGAAATTTTTTAAAATTTTTGAGGGTAATGTCTTCGACTAGATACGATTTGTGACCTTTTAACGTATCGTTGAAAGAAATCGGTTCCATGAGAGCTAAGAAAAAGTGATAAAGACACACAAAAAAAAAAAAAACACATCATAGTAAAATTAATATCTTCTCAGCTTCGCATCGAAGCTAAAAACAATTATAATTTCTAATGCAATGGACGCCTAAATAGATTAGTATTATACTAATAATTATGTTGACAGTTTGTATTCGGAAACATGTACTATCATTGTTTGAAATTTAAAGAAATCGTTTTGGTGCTTTATAATAAATAAATTTTTATATTTTACTACTATAAAATTCTTTATTTATTTAATTTAAAAAAATTTTTGAAATTATAAATGAACATATACCCATATTTATATATTTATGTAAAACATTTTTTATTACATTTATCTATTCATTTTTCATTAGAACCATAAAAGTATTAGTCAATAGAGGTCCATAACAAACAAAAATTTTTAAAATTTTAAAAAATTCTAATTTTTACAGCTACCGAATGATATCAAAATTATTCTAATAATAATTAAACTATCAAATTAAGTGAATTAATTATTTGAGGAGTCTTGTTTAGTTTTTTGAAATACGTTTTCGTTACTTAAATTGTTGTTAAAAATTTTATCTTAGAACAATAAACAATAACTACATAATTTCGTGATAAATAATTTTTCAAAACTAATATAATAAAAAATATTTTACACGCATTTATAAAATGTGATGTTAATAAAACTTAATATTATCAAAAATAAATTATGAATCTTTTGAATTGTTTTTATAACTTCTTTGATTAAGATACAGCTAAAAATATAAACATTTTTTAATCTACCAATGAAATATCACAATTGCTAACAGTAAATCATTATTGGGCAAAATTCAACACAAAAATGTTATCGTATTAATGCACTTGTATGGTATTCATTCTAATTGTATAATAATTTCTAATAATAAAATTTACAATAAGATTTCTACAAAAAAAATTTATTTCATTATATATCTTATTTACATATTTTATCATTCAAATTAATTAAACTCCTTATTAAATAAATTATTCAGTACTTTTTAAAGAACTAGGTAAATTATTAAAATATATAATATAATTTAATTTTCCCTTTGAAAGCGTATAAGAATACTTCCGCAGAACTTTTGTCAGTCGTGAGAGGTGACTAATGAGATTGCGTCAAATCGATAGTCGGTGTAAAGTGTTTGATACCAGACAGACAACTTGTGCAATAGCTGTTTCACCAGTCATTTGTACATACCTACCCAACGCTCGTAGTAAAAAGGGTGTTAGATTATCACCACTAAACTTTAGATGGGACTGTGTATAAGAAGACAAAATAGATATAAAGTAACAATAGGAAAGTGGAATTTTGGAACATTAAAGTAGAGAATTAGTAGAAGTATTAAAGAGAAGAATCTTTTTCCATATAGACAATTAAAATCATTAATTTGTAATGTTTTTTTATTGCCGAATTAGGTTTGATATGATAATAGGTTTCAATTACAAAATTAACTAATGTGGCTTTGTAATTTATTAATTTTTTAATAACATTTTGATTTGTTTTTTAACTATAGTAAATCATTAAAATTAAGTTCTGACTATTACAATTGTAGAAATTCTTTAAACATCAAGAGTTACTTAGTTACTTAGTAATGATTATTAAGATTTCAATATAAGTGATCTATTACAATAAATATGCAAAAAAAAGATTGAACTTTTCTGTTAAATTTACAGTAAATAGTAATTATACAATTTCCTGACTGCATATTAAACATTACAATACTATTTTTTAATTTTCATAAATTTTTCTAATTATTAATGTAAATTTAAAAAAAAGTTGAGCTAAAAGTTGAAATAATAAATTAAAAAAATTTTTTTTATATAAATAAGGAAATATGAGTTCATTTTACTTTTGGAATAATCCACTAATTTTTTAAAAATTAAACAATCTCTGCAGATATTCATCGCAATGTTTCTTATGATAGCGTTTTAATCATTGTCAAAACTGTACTACCTTTTTGGCTTCGATATGAGGCTGAGAAAGTATTGGTTCTACTATGATGTGTTTTTTTTTACTTTTTTTTATTTTTAAATTATTTATTTTTTTGTGTTTGTCACTACTTTTTCTCAGCTCTTACTGAACCGATTTCTTTAAACGATACGTCAAAAGATCACAAATCGTATCTAGTCGAAGACATTATCCTCAAAAATTGAAAAAAATCCCTCGTTCCATGTAAATGAGGAAAATCTCCAAAAAAATTACAAATTTAAAAATCGCTAATTTTCGATATTTTATCAATTTTTTTTACTTAAAGCTGCCATAACTTTTTGAAAAATGNTGAAAAAAATCCCTCGTTCCATGTAAATGAGGAAAATCTCCAAAAAAATTACAAATTTAAAAATCGCTAATTTTCGATATTTTTTCAATTTTTTTTACTTAAAGCTGCCATAACTTTTTGAAAAATGAACAAATCAATATAATTCTTTATTATATAGATGCATGATATCATTACCTTTCATTTGGTATATTTTTTTTTTATATGTGACCCTTTACTTGCCCACAGAGGGGGATTTAAAATGACAACTTTTACACAAAAAAATTAATTTTTTCAACTTGATTTTTGAAAATGTTCCGGAAGGTCTGACACTTTTATATATACCTAAAAAAATAAAGCTAATTTAATGTACTTTATTATGAAAAAAAAAAATTGACTTCTGGATTTGTCTTCATGGTGAAAATGGCTACCGAATGCTATTTTTGTGTGAACATTTTCGATTTTGTATTTTACATTTTTAATTTTATTATGCTATAACTAATTGAAAAATGTATGGATCAGTACAATTTTTTCATGAGGAGTAGTATTTATATACATCTTTCATTCGACATACTTTTTTTTTAAATAAAACCCTAATAAAAAATTTTCCTATATACGAGAGGGTTCAAATCTAAAAAATGCATGTAGAAAGTAGAACTTTTTCAACTTAAATTTTTTTACTTAAAACTTCAAAATTGAACAATATACTTATCATTTGGTATATTTTTTTTATAAATCTGACCCCTTACCTGCCCATAAGGGGGGATTAAAAATGAACACTTTATCACAAAAAATTAACTTTTTCAACTTAACTTTTGAAAGTGTTCCGGAGAGTCTGACACTTTTATATATATATTAAATTAAAGTTAATGTAATATACTTTATTATGGTAAAAAAAAATTTCGGACTCTATCTTATCTTCATGATGAAAACAGACATCAAACTTAATAAAAAAAATACGATTTTTGTAAAACACTTCTTTTTTATATTTTAAAAAAATATAGAAAGTATTGGTTTTACTAAGATGTATTTATTTTTTTATTTTTTTTTTTGTGTCTGTTACCACTTTTTCTCAGCTCTCACCGAACCGATTTCTTTTAATGATACGTCAAAAGATCACAAATCGTATCTAGTCGAAGACATTACCCTCAAAAATTTTAAAAAATTTCCCTCGTTCCCCGTAAATGGGGGAAACCTCCAAAAAATTTACAAATTTAAAAATCGCTAATTTTCGAAATTTTTTCAATTTTTTTTACTTAAAAGTGCCATAACTTTTTCAAAAATGAACATATCAATATAATTCTTTTTTATATAGATGCATAATATCATTACTTTTCATTTGGTATATTTTTTTCATAAATTTAACCCTTAACCTGCCCACAAGGGGGGATTTAAAATGACAACTTTTTCNATTCGACATACTTTGTCTTAATCAGGATATTAATAAGGAACTAGCAGTTTATGAAGCTTTTGGAATAATCCACCAATTTTTTAAAATTAAACACTATCTAAAGATTTGCATCGAAGCGTTTTTTTTTGATAGTGATTTTAATCACTGTCAGATATCATTATACTTGATCCAACTATGCCACGTCACCACTGTGCCGCGACCCCCCTGTGCTGGGTTTTTTAACTTTATAATGCTATAACATTTTTAAAAATGAATATATCAATATTATATTTTTTTATTTTTTATATTATATTTTTGAAAGATGTATGGATCAATATAATTATTTTTTTTATGGATGCATAATGTCTTTAACTATCATTTGATATATTTTTTTTATAAATCTGACTTTTTATCTGCCATCAGGGAGGAATTTAAAATGACAACTTTTTCACAAACAATTTAATTTTTCAACTTAACTTTTGAAAGTTTTCCGAAAAGTCTGACACTTTTATATATATTTCAAATTAAAGCTAATGTAATGTACTTTCTTATGGAAATAAATAATATCGTACTTTATTTGGTCTTCACGGTGAAAATGGCTACCAAATGCTATTTTTGTTTGAAAATTCTCGATTTTGTATTTTACAATTTTAACTTTATAATGCTATAACATATTGAAATGTGTATGGATCAATTTTATATAATATATATATAGTTATATAATTTAATATAACTTTTTTATAAGAAAAATAATTTTTAATAATCCCTTTTTCATTTGATATACTTTATCTGAATCAGGATATTAATAAGGAAATATCAAATCATGTAGGTTTTGGAATAATCATTCAATTTTTAAAATTAAACACTATCTAAAGATTTGCATCGAAGCGATTTTTTGATAATGATTTTAATCTTTATACTTGATCCAAATATGCCACGTCACCACTGTGCCATGATCCCCCTGTACTGATTTTTTTTTATATATACATATTTTTATATGCTACCATTTTGTATTACAAAATAATTAAGTATTTGAATCAGATCAGTATTTAGAAAATATCAAAATGTTATCAAAATCATGTTTAAAATAATTCATTTCATTAAAAAATAATTTTAATTTTTAATGATTTAATATATTTTTGGGTTAGTAAAAAAGTTCACTAAAAACTGTATAATTAGTTAATTAATTGTAATTAAATTTATTAATTAATAGTTGAAAATGAAGAAAATTTTCAACCAGTGATACTTGAAAGTATGGAAAAAGGTATTACTTGTATATTTTAATTTTAATAAATAATTATTTTATTTAAAAAAAAAAAAAATGGAAAATGTTACTAATAAAAGTAGCTTGCTATTTATTAATATAAATTTTATATCTATGTTTATATTTTAGTGTATAATGAAAATTATTGTCCAATTCTTAACGAGAGTATGAAAGAAGGTATATATCAAAACAAATTTCATATACACCTACAAGACTTTCGAAATACTGATACAAAATATAGTAAATTATTATATTATTTTTTAGAAGATCATAATTTTATAAAATCATAATAATTATCTTGCAAAAAGTTAGTTGCAAATTTATTTAGTTTTATCATGTTTCAATAATTTGTTACAATAAAAGATAATTTTAATTTTTAATGGTTTAATACATTTTTGGGTTAATAAAAAAATTCACTAAAAACTGTATAATTGCTTAATTAATTGTAATTAAATTTATTAATTAATAGTTGAAAATGAAGAAAATTTTCAACCAGTGATACTTGAAAGTATGGAAAGAGGTATTACTTGTAAATTTTATTTTAATTAATAATTATTTTATTTTCAAAAATAAAAATTGAAAATGTTTCAATAATTTGTTACAATAAAAGTTAATTTTAATTTTTAATGGTTTAATACATTTTTGGGTTAGTAAAAAAATTCACTAAAAACTGTATAATTAGTTAATTAATTGTATTTAAATTTATTAATTAATAGTTGAAAATGAAGAAAATTTTCAACCAGTGATACTTGAAAGTATGGAAAAAGGTATTACTTGTATATTTTATTTTAATAAATAATTATGTTATTTTCAAAAAAAAAAAATTGAAAATATTTCAATAAAAGATAATTTAAATTTTTTTTGGCCTAAAAATAGTCGATAATGTATAATAAGTCATTATAAATCTTAACTAAAAGAAAAATTATTACGTAGAGTTCCCACAAAAAAATTTAATATGGTTTTTTAAAAATAAAATTTAATTTATCATCAATTGTAATTTATTACAATTAATAAGTTTATTAATCAATAGTAGATCTATCATATAACATTTTCATAATTTTATTTTAATGAATAATTTTTTTTTCAAAGAAAAATATTGAAAATGTTACTAATAAAAGAAGTTTGCTATTTATTAATATCAATTTTATATCTATGTTTATATTTTAGTGAATAATGAAAATTATTGTCCAATTCTTAACGAGAATATGAAAGAAGGTATATATCAAAACAAATTTCATTAATACCTACAAGACTTTTGAAAAACTGGTACAAAATATTGTAAATTATTATATATTATATATATTTAAAATATATAAATATACAAAAGGAAATGGTGTTATTTAAAAAAAAAATATGTCGTATGAAAGATGTATGCAAATACTACTTCTCATAAACAATTGTATTGATCCATACATTTTTCAAAAAGTTATAACATTATAAAGTTAAGAATGTAAAATATAAAATCGAGACTTTTCACACAAAAATAGCATTCAGTAACTATTTTCACCCTGAGGACAAAATAAAGTCCGGAATTTTTTTTTCCATGATAAAGTATAACGAATTAGTTTTAATTTAAAATATATATAAAAGTGTTAGACTATCCGGAATACTTTCAAATGTTAAGTTGAAAATGATTTCATTTTATATCCCCCCCTGTGGGCAGGTAAAGGGTCAGATTAAAAAAAAAATATACCAAGTGATAATTAAAGACATCTTGCTGCTATAAACAAAAATTACATTGATTTGGTCATTTTTAAAAAGATTATGGCAGTTTTAAGTAAAAAAAATTGTAAAAATGTCAAAATTTAGTGATTTTTAAATTTGTAATTGTTTTGGACATTTCCCCTATTTACAGGGAACTAGGGAAATTTTTTCAATTTTTGAAGGTAATGTCTTCGACTAGATTCGATTTGTGATATTTTGACGTATCGTTGAAAGAAGTTGTTTTGGTGAGAGCTGAGAAAAAAAGGTAATAGACACAAAAAAACACACCATAGTAAAATTAATAACTTCTCAGCTTAGCATCGAAGCTAAAAAAATTAAATTATATTTATTTTGCAAGTAATTGAGTGGGTTATGATAAAAAAATCACTCTGTATATCAAGACTTTGAAATACTGGTACAAAATATTGTATAATATTACATCATAATTTCATATATACATATAAGATATTTAAATTATAATGTAACATTTTGGTTGGGTAGACTTATAAATAGAAAAGCTAGGAATGAGTAATTTTAACATGATATAATGAAAATTTAGCAGAAATTTTACATTTCTGTAAAATTTAGATAAATTGTTATAAAATGATATATTTGTGGAAAAATTTTCAATACTTTGTTTCAAAATTACACATGAAAATATAAAAATTTTAAAAATTTTATAGAACTTATATATTTCAGAATTACATAATTAAATTATTTATTTTTTTACAGGATCAAACACGAAATCCAACGCTGAAGATTCTGAAAAATGTACACTAATCAGATATCCTGATCATTTACGTCCATTTAATAGATACCTTCATTAATTGTTCCTTGTATATATACTAAAAATTCACAACTTCAATTTCGATAGAACATATTCAAAATAATTACCAAAAATGTAATTTTAGAGTATTTTATAAGCACTTAAAGTTTTTATGTTCAATGGTTATAAAAGATTTTTACTAAACCACTTAAACATATTATATCCTCTATTAAATCAGTGTTTCAAAATATTAATATTAAAATGACAAAAGTAATATTAAATAATAATAATAAATAAAAGTAATAAAATGAAAATAAAAAGCATTATTATAACATGGCAGGAGGACTTAAGCGGTATATAAAAATAAAAATAAACAGACCTATTCTTCACCTCTAATTGATATATTTAAGTACTTATAACTTCAAAAATATTGGTTCAAAAATTATTAAAGGCCGATAATTTTCTTCTTTTTAAGTTGTAAATGAAATATTTTTTTATTTAAAAAACTTAAGTTTAATTAACTTTAAGGGGATATAAGAGAGAATATTTTTTAGCTTGGATCCAAAGCTGAGAAGGTATTAATTTTACCAAAATGTGTTTAATATTATTCTATTTTTATGTCTGTTACTACTTTTTTCAGCTCTCAGTGGACCTAATATTATCAACGATACGTCAAAAGATTATAAATCAAAATATTGAAGACATTATCCTCAAAAATTAAAAATTTTTCCCTCGTTCCCCGTAAATAGTGAAAATTACTCAAAAAATTACGATTTTTAAAATTGATTTTAAAAATCAACTTTTTTTTTTCTAAAAATTGTAATAAAATTTTATAAAATTAACGAATTAAAATAATTTTTTATATTGAAATTTTAGGTATTTCCCTTTCATTTAATATAAATTTTATTATAATCTGACCCTATACCGACCCATAGAGGGGATTCATAATAGCAACTTTTCCAACTTAAATTTTGAAAATGTTCCGGAAATACTGCGTTCTTGAAACATATGTTAAATTAAAGCTTATGTTACGTACTATAAATTAAAAAAGCCCCGACGACTTGTGTTCTACGTGCAAATTACTGCCAAAGTAAAAAAAAACATAATATTATTTTTGTGTTCAAATTTTTTTTTATTTTGTTTATTTTAAAATACTTTACAAGGGTTTGGCGTAGTAATGATTTCACCAATTTGTATAATGTTCACATGAATCTAACTAACATTAAATATAAATTTATACTTATTTTGATTATTTTGTCTCCTCAAAGTTAAGAAAAGTCATTTTGAATTTTGATTTGTTTAAATAGTTTATTTTTATTTTAGTTGACACATAATATACGATGGCTACGTCGTAAATTTTACAGTTATATGTTCGATGTATGACATTTGAACCTCGCTAGTCGATATATCTTTTTTTGCATTTTTTCTTAATTCTTTTTTGAGGTGAAAAAAAAATTCTAAGTTTGTTTAATTTTTATCTTATTTAAATTGAATAACTTTAATAAATATTAAGGATCTCATCACTGTAAAAATGTTTTCTTATTCTTATTAAAATATTTTACTAAATGAATTTTTTTTTGTGTCTGTCATTAATTTTTTTCAGCTCTCACTTGACCAATTTTAATGGCCAATACGTTAAAAAAACACGATTTTAATCTCGTTGAACTTGTAATCACCAAATCTTGGAAATAACCTTTTAAATATATAGAAATTCAGACAAATATCTCAAAATTACTCTACTGTAAATGTTACCACTTAAAAAAAACCAGCACAGTAGGATCGTGGCATAGTTAGGTCTAGTATAGTTTAATCTGACAGTGATTAAAATCACAATCATAAGAAACGCTTCGATGCAAATCTGTAGATAATTTTTAATTCTTAGAAATTGGTGGATAATTTAAAAAGCAACATCAACATAAAAACCTTAATTATATCCAGAGTAGTAATTCTTAGATTCAAAAATATAATATAAAATTTTATATTATATAATTGTTATATTGAATTGTTTTCAAATTAGTATTGATATTGATTTTTAATATGTTAAAAGTAATAATTTTTAACCTTCTTTATTTCGACCTTAAAAGTAAAAGTTTATAATAAAAAAAGAAATTAATTTATTACCATAACTTTTAACTTAACTTGCAGGTTTGAAACTGACATTATTAAATGAAATTATTAAGATTAATATGCAGTCAGGGAATTTTATAATTACTATTTATAGTATATTTATCAAAAAAGTTCGATTTTTTTTTACATTTTTATCGTAATAGATCACTTAAATAAAAATCATAGTAATCATTTTTAATTATCTTTTGTTGTTTAAAAAGATTCTACAATGGAAATATTCAGGACTTAATTAATTTTAATGATTTACTATAGCTAAAAGAACCAATAAAAAAAAAGTTCTACTCAGTTGAGCGAATTAAAATTTTGATTATGATTGAAAAATCCATCGTAAAATTCAGGTGAAACTAAAATTAATTTTTTTTTTAAATTTATGATTTATATAGCAACATGTCACAAAAAAATTTGGAATACTATAGACTGGTATAGCTCACACAAATAGAGTTAAAAAATAATAAATTACAAAGTAAAATAATTTACTTTTGTAATTAAAATCTATCATATCGAACTTGACTCGACAATGAATACCTTAAAAATATTAGAAATGAATGATTTTAATTGTTTGTTAAAAAGGATAAAGCTGGTTAAACTACTTTTTATTTGAATAAGGAATATTTTTTCGATTTTTTAGTGTAATATCTTCAACTAAATACGAATTGTAATCATTTGACGTATTGTTGAAAAAAGTAGGTTAAGCGAAGGTTGGAAAAATAAATCGTAGCCACAGAAAAAACCACATAGTAAAATAATATTAACACATATAAGAAATTTCTTCTCACGAGGGGAGACTATAGTGATAGGATCCTTTATATTTATTGAAGTTATTGAATCTAAATGAGATAAATATCAAATGATTTGAAAATTTTATTCTAACTCAAAAAAAAAATGCAAAATTTTAATTAACTCAGACGGATTTGATTCTCGTACCCCATGCGTAAAAGACATAAGTGTTACCGATTCGGCAATTGTTTGTTTCTTTCGTCACATGAAAAAATTAACTATTTAAGCTAACTCAAATTTAAAAATTACTTTTTCAACTTTAAAAAAGTAAAAAAATTTAATACGTTTAATTTCTTATGTCTTATGAATTTTATTCTATGTCAATTAAATTATATAATATTCATGAAAGTCAGTGTATTCCCCTTTTAAGATATTTGAAAATAAAATAAAATACAAAACATAGAATTTTAACACAAAAATAGCATATTTTTGAATATAGTAGCCATTTGCGCATAGAAGATAGGTCGTCGGGACAATTTTTAGCTTCGATGCGAAGCTGAGAAGGTATTGGTTTTACTAAGATGTGTTTNCTTCGATGCGAAGTTGAGAAGGTATTGGTTTTACTAAGATGTGTTTTTTTTTTGTGTCTGTTACCACTTTTTCTCAGCTCTCACCGAATCGATTTCNTTGTGTCTGTTACCACTTTTTCTCAGCTCTCACCGAACCGATTTCTTTCAATGATACGTCAAAAGATCACAAATCGTATCTAGTCGAAGACATTACCCTCAAAAATTGAAAAAAATTCCCTCGTTCCCCGTAAAAGGGGGAAACCTCCAAAAAAATTACAAATATAAAAATCGCTAATTTTCGAAATTTTTTNAAAAAAATTACAAATTTAAAAATCGCTAATTTTCGAAATTTTTTCAATTTTTTTTACTTAAAAGTGCTATAACTTTTTCAAAAATAAACATATCAATATAATTTTTTTTTACATAGATGCATAATATTATTACTTTTCATTTGGTATATTTTTTTTATAAATTTAACCCTTAACCTGCCCACAAGGGGGGATTTAAAATGACAACTTTTTCACAAAAAATTAACTTTTTCAACTTAACTTTTGAAAATGTTCCGGAAGGTCTGACACTTTTATATATATCTTAAATTGAAGCTAGTGTAATGTTCTTTATTATGCAAAAAAAAATTTCGGACTTTATTTTATCTTCATGGTGAAAACAGACATCAAAGTTTATTAAAAAAATACGATTTTTGTAAAAAAATTCTTTTTTATATTTTTAACTTTATAATGCTATAACTTTTTGAAAGATGTATGGATCAATATAAATTTTTTTTTATAGATCCATGATGTCTTTACCTATCATTTGGTGTATATTTTTTTTATATCTGACCCTTTACCTGCCCACAAGGGGGGATTTAAAATGACAACTTTTTCACAAAAAATTTATTTTTTTAACTTAAATTTTGAAAATGTTCCGGAAGGTCTGACACTTTTATATATATCTTAAATTAAAGCTAATGTAATATACTTTATTATGGTAAAAAAAAATTTCGGACTTTATTTTATCTTCATGGTGAAAACAGACATTAAACTTAATAAAAAAAATACGATTTTTGTAAAAAAATTCTTTTTTATATTTTTAACTTTATAATGCTATAACTTTTTGAAAGATGTATGGATCAATATAATTCTTTTTTTTGTAGATGCATGATGTCTTTACCTATCATTTGGTATATTTTTTTTATAAATCTGACTTTTTACCTGCCTACAGGGGGGGATTCAAAATGACAACTTTTTCACAAAAAATTGACTTTTTCAACTTAAATTTTGAAAGTGTTCCGGAAAGTCTGACACTTTTATATATATCTTAAATTAAAGCTAATGTAATATACTTTATCATGGAAAAAAAAAATTTCGGACTTTATTTTATCTTCAAGGTGAAAATGGCTACCAAATGCTATTATTGTGTGAAAATTCTCAATTTTATTTTTTACATTTTTAACATTATAATGCTATAACTTATTGAAAAGTGTATTGATCAATATAATTTTTTTATGGGAAATACTATTTTCTAATAATCTCTTTTTTATTCGACATACTTTGTCTTAATCAGGATATTAATAAGGAACTAGCAGTTTATGAAGCTTTTGGAATAATCCACCAATTTTTTAAAATTAAACACTATCTAAAGATTTGCATCGAAGCGTTTTTTTTTTGATAGTGATTTTAATCACTGTCAGATATCATTATACTTGATCCATCTATACCACGTTATCACTGTGCCGCGACCCCCCTGTACTGGGGGTTTTTTTTTTAATTCTATAGTATATGACATAAGTTTTAATTTTATATATGTTGAAAGGACGCAGTATTTCCGGAACATTTTCAAAAGTTGAGTTGAAAAAATTAGTTTTTGTAAATAAGTTGATATTTTAAAACCTCATTGTGAGCAGAATAACTTATAAGATTAAAAAAAAAATGATATCAAATGAAAGGGAATTATCTATGGTTTTAGTATAAAAAAAAGGATGTTGATTTTTGAAATGTTTTAAGAAAAAAAAGTGAAAAAAATGACAAAATTTACTGATTTATAAATTTGTAATTTTTTTTGAGATTTCCCCTATTTGCGGGGAGCGAGGGAAATTTTTTCAATTTTTAAGGGTAATGTCTTTAACTAGATACGATTTCTGATCTTTTGACGTATTGTTGAAAGAAATCGATTAAATGAGAGCTGAGAAAAAGTGGCAACAGACATATAAAAAAAAAAAACACATCATAGTAAAATTAATATCTTCTCAGCTTCGCATCGAAGCTAAAACGTTTTTAAAATTCAATATCTCCAAATTAATGGTGTCGTAACACAATAAGAGGGAAGGTGCAATGTAATGTGTACGAAGATGAAGATGAGGATGTGGTGCCTGCTGTCTAGGTATTCACGTGCGTGTTGTCGTACAGCAGTCACCGTGCTCGGCTGATACTCCGAGTTAGCTGTGGGTGTCCAAAGGCTGTTGTTATAGGAAGGGAATAAGGGTAACACCTAAGTATGAGGTGTAGACGAAGTGCAAGACACAAATACTTTGAGTATAGGAGAGGACAAAGAATTAAATAGTTAAATAATATCAATAAAAAAGTAGTTTTTAATAATTATATACCAATATATACTTTACTTTACAAAATTTTTACGCTGTCTTAAAGTCTGAAATCAGGTTACTTCTATCACCCCGTTTTTGATATTATTAATTAGAAACACATGTAAAAATTAATTAAAAAAAAAAAAATTCATCAAGTTATCACTGATTTTTAATATGTTGAAAATAATTTGTGCAAAATTTTAATAAAAAATTACATTTTTAACTTATTTTTTGATCCTTTAAAGTTTATTTTTATGAAAGTTTTTAATTTAAAAATGTTGAATTTTAAATACAATTTTAGCTTTAATTGCAAGGTTAGAATTTATATCATTAAATAAAAAGTTTTATGAGGAATAAAATATTTTACTTTTTAGATTGATTCATGAAAAGAAATTTATCTAATTATTATTAACAGTAAATTTATGAGAACAACTCAAAATTTCGTTAAAATCGCCATTTATTGTATTTTTATTGCAATAAATCATTTTTACTTTTGGTGTTTAAATAATTATTTATTTTGATAT